TTTGGAAGAGTCTACAGAGCTATACGTTTTTTTTTTTGAAGTTCAAAACCATTAATTATTCAAATCTCCCCAGAGGGGATCTCGTCTGAGATTACATGCAAAATAATGTCTGGTGGCATAAGTGGCCACTCCATGCAAAGATTATTCCAAACAGCTTCCCTAGCTAAATTGTGAGCAGCCCGATTAGCTTCTCTTCGCACCCATGCAATCTTCCACTCCTCTCTTGCCTCCATTATCCTCTTGATCTCCTCCACGATCGGCCCTAGGGGGGACAGATCCTTCGCTTTGCTTGCAAGTTTGCCTACAGCCTCTTTGCAGTCGGAGTCAAGATACAGTCGTGGAATTTTGTGAGCTTCCGCTAAGATAGCAGCTCGGCGGCGCGCTTGGAGTTCAACTTGTAGAGGATCATTGCACCTCGGTAGAAAGTGGCTAGCACTTGTAATATACGCCCCATCATGGTTCCTGAGAACTACACCCGTTCCTCCTTCTCCCGTTTTCGCGGTCGCACCATCAACATTGGCCTTGATCCATCCCTCCTCTGGTGGTTGCCACTTTTCCTTCGTCCTTATCTGTCTAGGTTTGCTCCTGCATCCATGGATGGACTGCCATTCCACCATCAGGTTAAAAACACGCCTCGCTATCACATCCGCGTCCTCCAGCCGCTGTCCATCACGGGTATTATTCCTTGCTAGCCAGAGAGCATAAACTCCCTGAACCATGACAGCTCGTTCATCATCCGTAGCTTCAGCGAACCATGTCATGAGCCATCGCGACAATGCACCCTGAGGGCTACACGTCTCCGGCGGGATCGCCACCGGCACCCCCAATTCCGAATGCATTATCTTCCAGAACTTTACCGAGTGGTAGCAGCCCCAAAATCTGTGGTATATAGTCTCCTCCCGTCCACAGGCAACGCAAAAGACACCCGGTTTTGATTTTCCTCCTGTGCAGCTCTGCTCCAACCGCAATGCCATTTCTTATGACACGCCACATATGAGTTTTGGCTTTCCCAGGCGCCACCGAATCCCACAAGCACAACCACGATTTGTGGTCTGCAACCGATGAGGAGGTCTCTGGTCTGCCCCCTCGCGCTCTTTTTTGACTCATTCGTAGGTGATAGGCCGAGCGCACCGAGAACTCCCCGTTCTTGGTAAAGTTCCACGCCTGGTAGTCTTCCATCTCGACACCGCCCACCGGAATCTGCAATATTTCTTGAGCTTCATCCGCAGCAAACATGGTCTGTACCATGTTTACGTTCCAAGCTGCACTGTCCGCCTCCAACAAGTCGCTGACTCGTACTATTCCTGGAATATAGCTTTGGCCCATTGGCTTTAGGCTACCCGTTCTAGGAATCCAGTTGTCGTGATGAATTTTAATGTTTGAACCGTCTCCAATTCTCCAAATGATTCCATCCAGCAACAAGTTCCTCCCATGTAGGATACTCCGAAATGTGTAAGAACCCCCACTCGGGCAGGTGGCATTTAAAATCGAACCATCTGGATAGTATCTTGCCTTCAACACCCTAGCACACAAGGAGGTCGGCACCTGGAAGAGGCGCCAAGCTTGCTTTGCAAGTAAGGCTTGATTAAAAGCCTCCGGATCGCGAAACCCTAACCCTCCTTCGTGCTTTCTCATGCACATTTTATCCCAAGCAATCCAATGAACCTTCTTTTGCCCATTTGCTTCGCCCCACCAGAAGTTTGACGCAATAGATGACAGATTCCCGCACATTTTCTTTGTGAGTTGGAAGCAGCTCATGGTAAAAGTAGGTGTCGATTGGAGGCCAGATTTCACAAGCACCTCTCTAGCCATCTTTGAGAGCCCTTGGCCTTTCCATCCCGAGACTTTCCCTCTTGCTCTCTCCTTTACATATTTGAAAGTTCCATCTTTAGAGCTCCCTACCACCGTAGGTAGTCCCAGATACCTCTCACTCAAAGCCTCCTCCTTGATGCCCAAAATTTGTTTTAGCTCTTCTTTTGTAGTATCATCCGTTCCTTTCCCGAAAAAAACAGCAGACTTGTGGAAATTTACTTTCTGGCCTGAAGCACCTTCGTACTGCTGCAATATGGTCCGGAGTGCCTCAAAATTTTCCTTGGAACCTTCCACAAAAACCACACTGTCGTCGGCAAACAATAAATGGGTCACACTTGGCCCGTTTGAACCGAACGACACCCCCTTGATAACAGCCTCCTCTTGCGCCTTCTTTAGAAGAGCCGAAAACCCCTCCACACAGAAGAGAAAAAGGTACAGGGAGAGGGGATCTCCCTGTCTCAATCCTCTGGATGGGTTGAATCTATGAGATAAACCTCCATTGAGCTTCACAGAAAACAAAGGAGTTTTAACACAGTGCATAATCATCTCCGTCCAGTGACAGGAGAACCCCGTCTTCAGAAGCATTTGCTCTAAAAAATCCCATTCAACTCTGTCATAGGCCTTCATCATATCTAACTTGACTGCACACACAGGCTTCTTTCGCTTCCTTTTCCTGATCGCATGCACACATTCATACGCAACCAGTACGTTGTCTGTTATGAGTCTGCCAGGCACAAATGCACTCTGCTCCTCTGATATCATGACTGGCAGTACCACTTTCAGGCGGTTGGCCAGTGCCTTCGCCGCAATTTTGTACAACATGTTACACAAGCTAATGGGTCTAAACTGGGAAAGTAACTCCGGTGAGTTTACCTTCGGAATCATAACAATGATCGTGTCATTAAAACTGTTTGGAGCCACTTTCCCATCTAAAAACTCTCTGACCGCAGCGCACACATCCTCCTTTACCAACTCCCAGTGGCGTTGGTAAAACATGGCCGGGAGGCCATCCGGGCCCGGTGCCTTGGTTGGTCCCATCTGGAAGAGCGTCGTGCGTATCTCCTCGTCCGAGACAGGAGTTGTTAGTTTTGCGTTCATCTCATCCGAAACAAGTCTCTGTATGTGCTACAACACGTTTTCTTTGTCATGAGATCCTTCTGAGGTGAAGAGATGCTCGTAAAACTGTGCCGCCATTGCTCGCATCCCGTCGTCATCCGTGCACTTCGTCCCATTGTCCCTTCTCAACGCCTTAACTGTGTTCTTCGGTTTGCGATGCGACGCACGATTTTGGAAATATTTCGTATTTTGATCTCCTTCCATCAGCCTCTTCTCTCTCGTAGAGCTCATGAAGCTGATCTTCAATATCCTTGACCTCCTGTCGACAGCCCGTCCATGCAGCTCGTTCCTTCGCATCCACTAGCTGCCCCTTAAGGTGGCAAATCTGCTTTTTGATAGACCCAAAAACCCTTCGACTCCACTGTTGCATGGCCCTTGTCGTTTCCTGCAGTCTTGTGCATGTACCACTCAACGCCCCGCCTTGCTGATTGGCTTCGCAGGCTGCAGCCCATGCAGCGGCCACCATCCCTTCGTATCCATCATGACGCGCCCATGCAGCCTCATAAATAAACGGCCTCGATCCCGTAGCTCGCGAGTCGGCCAGTGCCGTCGCGGCCTTAATAATTAGCGCTGGGTGGTCGGATTCTTCTGTCATCACATGTTGCACCTCTAGCGACGGAACATTTGGGCAAGATCAGCATTACACGTTGCCCGGTCCAAACGGACTTGGATATTCTCCTCCATCTGTCTCTTGTTATCCCATGTGAATGGATAGCCCGAAAAGCCAAGGTCAGCCAGGCCGCAGTCGGCCAGGCATTCCTCGAACATTGCCATCTGATTCATACTTCTCAGATTACCCCCTTGTTGCTCACTTTGTCTCAAAGCTTCATTGAAATCTCCTGCGCATAACCATGGAAGATCATCCTGTGTCCTTCGATACCGAAGCACCTCCCAAGTTTTTGTTCTCTTCTCAACACAGGGTTCCCCATATATTTCAGTGAATCGAAAGGAACTCCCATTGGCCTCGATCTTTGCATCAATGTAATATTGGCACCAAGGACGCACTGTAACATCAACATGGTCTCTCCACCACAGTGCCAATCCACCGCTCTTGCCCTTACAGTCCACCGCCACGCCTTGGTTGAAACCCAATCTCCATTTTAACCTCTCCATCGCCCCCGCTCGTTTCTTCGTTTCCGAGAGAAACACCACCTCTGGGTTGTATGACCGTACTAGGTCCCGAAGCTCGCCCACTGCCGAGTCCAACCCCAATCCTCGGCAGTTACAGGCTAAGATAATCATTGTTCTCGGCGGCCCCGCGCCCTAGCAGGGTCCGCCGATGTATCCTCCGTCGACATACGATCAAAAACAGAAGCCGTCTTCTGTCGAGTATCTCTCACAAAAACTCCCGTTTCCTCATATCTGCCTCCGCCCTCCTTAGCTACCCACACCTGTCGTGGCCCCCTTTTCCTCGTGTTGGGCGTAGCATTGGGGCTGTTTCCACTTCTTCCATGCTCTACTTGATTAGTAAGAGGTTTCCTAACATAATATCCTCGTCTTCTTTGGGCAGGGTAGTGCGGTTTATAAGCATAATCCTCATGAGCATATCTATTTGCCTCATTCCCTTCCCTATACCTTCTCCTCTCCTGCTGCTCTCGCTCCATGTCCCTCCTCCTTTGCTGCTCCTTGAGTTGTTCTCTTAAATCTCTCTCCTTCTTGCGTTCGATCTCATGTCCGAGATCCCTCTCCTCCTGCCAAGCACCTCTAAACCGGTCTTTCTTTGGGCTGTTGACTTCTCCCTTGTCCATCTTGTGCTGCTCACCAGTGCAGGAGCTTTCTGGGTTGTCAAAAACAGCATTTAAATTGCGCTTGGTCGGAACATCTTTCACCCTAGCCGAGCTACCTAGATCCTTAGAATTTCCTTCCGACTGTGAGCTGGCAAAGTTGTTGCTAGTATTGAGTTTTCCTCCTTTTGCCTCGGTTTTGGAGCCAGTGCTCCTCCCCGGCGATGCTCTGAGCCATCCTCCCCATTGTGCCGATTCGTCAACAGGGGGATTGCATCTTCCATCCTCATGGACTAGCCTCCCACACTCAAAACAGAAGTGTGGAATTTTCTCATAGTGGAAGTCGAACTATGTCCTGTTATTTTCTTCCTGAGTGGCCTTGAGGAAGAAAACCCGTACCAGTGGTTCAAAGATGGAGATTCTTGCCCTAACCCGTAGCTGGTTACCTCTTGCCATGCCATCCTTGTCCACATCCACCTTGATTACCTCTCCTAGCCAGTTGCCGAGGGCCCTGCCAAAACTCTCCGTCCTCTTCCCCGGTGGCAGATCTGTAACTCTAACCCAAACATCGACCTTGTCAAATATCATCTCCGAGGGTCTAACGTTGCTATCATACTCCTTTAACACCAGGACATTAAAATCAAACTGCCAAGGCCCATTCGACATCGCATGCCTCCAATCACCTTCGCTACCAAAGTGGACTGCGAATATGTTATCGCCCATGTCACGGAATCTTGCTTCGTGGTGAAGTCCCCATGCCCTCTGCATAGTTTTTTCGAGCACAGTCTTGTTGAACGGACGTGGTGAGAACGCCTTCCCCACCGCCGACCACTTCATGTTCTTGGGCAAGATCTGATCTGATTCCTTGAAGACGAAACCTTCCGCTTATTTGTCCAAAAGCACCATCCCTCCCAGTCTCGCTGAAAGGCTCGCAGTTGGATCCGGCGTCTTGCACTCAGCAGGAGATTTGGAGGATCCCCTACTCACCGTCTTCCCCGGAGTCGCAGCCGCCGCCGGGGTTGCCTTTGCAGCCGGAGTCCCTGCAGATGTTTCCTTCGTCTTCTCCGCCATAGCTCCGCACCGTGGCGAGAAAGACGACACCGGTCTGTGCCGAGAGGAGCGTCGTCGCCACCCCCGTCACCACCGTAGACACACCACCCCCGCCGCCGAAACCCTAGACCTAGCGTTGGGAGGAAATCGCCTGCCGATCGCCTCACAATCGCCTCTAGCGAACCGGTATGTGGTGGACCCTCTCTACAGAGCTATACGTTGATTACATGTCGAGCACCCAACCAGTTGACATGCTCCAATAGAAAAATCTTAAATTGAACCGTGCTAGTCAGACTGTCAAAGTATCCAGAACATATAAGACTAATGAAAATCTGCAAAAGCAACATGAATATTTTCTCTCTTTTTTGCGAAAGGAAAGTAACATGAATCAGTTCAAGTATTACTCTAGTGCTACGGGCAACGGCTAATAACAGAATAGAGGAATAAATTGTTGGGAGGGAAAATTAATTAAAGTCTGATGCATCAGGCAGAATTATAAAATCCAGCACTGACATAAGTGACTCTGCACACAGCTGTCATCATAAAGCTAATCTTCGGTTCAATTATCAAAGCGATAGAAAATAAAGGGCGTGGATTTGACGATACATAGCTAATATATCTCAGCTGTGGAGATTTGATTTGCCTTGTGGTGAGCATGCTTTCACTGCTTGTGATTTAATATAGCAAGGCGTCAAGTGAGGAGTGGTTGAGCGTGTTTTCGCTGCTTGTGATGATATTCTCTGAATTATTAGTTCTTATTGTTGCATGTTGAGCACTGGCAAATTATCTATTTTACAATCTATTAATAAAAGACATAGAATAATATAAAGAATAGATTGATTTGGCGCATTATCTATTTTGCAGGACAAGAGAAAGAGAGTCTAAACCATGAATATTGCTACGAGATGTGCAATTATTCCTCAAGAAATTCAAAATATAATAGGCTTGAACGAGAGCAAATCATTGGTTTCTATTTTGCGAGACAAGAAAGAAAGAGTCAAAGCCATGAACCGATGCAAGATTTGTATTCATTCCTGAGGAAATTCGAAAATAGGGAACAATAGGTTCAAACTAGGGTGCGGCGGCGCTAGGCGGAGCTCGGAGACGGCCGGTCTCGTCTTCGTCCTGGTCGTGGATGGCTGGTCGCAGCGGCGACTCTCGCCTTGGTTGGCGGTGGCCGGTGGGCGCACTACCCAGATCCGGCCTGCCGGGACCCAAAGGAGTCCCGCGGTGGTTGACCCAGCTGTTCTTCATTCTCCAAAGCTCCGATCTGCTTCATGCGGGCCTCCTCGATCTTGACACCGACGGGTTTTGGTCTTCCTCTCAGAGATCTTAGCTTTTGGTGCATGGCGCCACTGGATGTCTAGATCAGAATTGATCCGATCGGGCGCGCCCTCAACTTCGGCCAAAGAGGCTTCATGGGTGTGGCACGAAGCTTCGTTGTCTTGCCAGTGCCATGGGACATGTCTAAGTATAGATTTTCACGGCGTTGACAGTGGTGAAGAAAGTCATGGTGCCTACGGTCGGAGACTTGTAATGGTGGAGGAGTTTTGGTTGCGTTGAAGAATGGCGGCACAGGTTCCTATGTGTTAGGTATTGAGGACTTACAGCGGCGGCCTTGGCAGGAGGGGGCGGCAACACAGGTGGACAACAGTTTTGGGGGTGCTTCTCAAGTACCGAGCCGCGATCTCCAGGGTGAAAGCCCAAGGTCTGGCCTTCATTAGTTGTACCTGGCAATGATCTTGCGAAGGCATTGTCTTTTGGATCCCGGACTCTCTCGTGGGTGAAAACTCAAGAACCTCTTATGTTGTCTGAGTGTCACTGTTGTGAGTTTTTCATCACTGCGACGGGGTCTTTGTTTTTATATTTCTCTCTTTTCTTTTTTGTTTTTGGCTGTCTTTGATGTCTTTTGGTATCTTGTTGATGCAGAGGCCATTTGTAATTGGTATCTTCGCGATATTAATATATTTTTTTTTCAAAAATGAGACAAGAAAGAAAGAGTCAACGCCATGAGTATCATCTCCGGAAGCCTCTTCGCCGTCGCCTGCCACTACCCACCCGCCCCACGCGAAAGGGTGGAGAGGCGCTCCGTCCACGCCCTAGAGGTAAACGGCAAGGAGGTTCGCGGAGTATGGGGTCGCCGCCGCACGCTGACGCCGGCTGGCCGATGCTTCAGGAGATATGCTTGGAACAGCATGGTCGTCACTGACGAGTGCCTCACGCCGACCGCCTTAGGCACCGCCGAGCCCCGCCGCCGCCGTTTTGCTGGTTGAACAACCTCATCAAGGCACGAGCAGGTGCAGGTCCTCGTGGTACTACCTGTCGAGGAAGAGCCGTGCATGCAGGCGCATGGTGAGGTCGATCAACCGGCAAAAACGCCGGCTCCTCGTCGGGAAGTTCATCCTCACCCACCATGTACTGGAAGATGTCTCCGATCATGGCATGGCATTGCATGCAGTAGAGACCGGCCTAGGACCTGGAGCATGTCAACAGTCAGGTTATTAGTTATTACTGGCGTCTCATCGGTATGTGGAGAGGGAAAACAGACGACGGCATAACAACAACAGACAGACAGACGTACTTACTGTGAGAGGAGCTCCTCGTCGAGGCTCTCGGAGCAGAGTGCTTCACGAGGAAGGACCCTGTCGCTGTGTGTGTGATGTGTCGGGGAAGGAAGGTGGCGCGGGGGAGCGCAATATAAAGAGCAGGCCGGTCGAGTGGGAGGACGGCCGGGGAATGCGATTCCGGCGACATGGATGGTGCGTGATCTCTATCCACTCCTTTCTCCGGTTCCATTCGACGTACGGCGGCAATCAGTGAGCGCAGGCAGGGAATACTGTTCCTCTCGGGTCTCCGATTCGATCCCCACTCAGTAGCTAGGTCTCGTTCGGATGTGGATGAGGATGAGCAGGCAAGCTTAGCTCGTTCGGGATTTGGTTCTAGCTTCAGATTCCGCAGTTCAGAGACCCCACGTACAAACACTGAATGCACTTTCGCACTTCAGTTTGGTCACACGATATCCACGCAGACTGAAGGAATTTTTTATTTTGAGAAAAGAGAAAAAGAATACACAAGTACAAAAAAATTGTGGAAATGCTACTGGGAATACTCGTCGGATAATGGCAGTGTTGTACTCCCTCCGTTCCAAAATAGATGACTCAACTTTGTATTAAAGTTAGTATAAAGTTGAGTCATCTACTTTGTACTGTCAAAGGAAGAAAACAGATCAGACCATGGAAGCAAGTTAGTAAGTTACCAGCATGGTCCATGAACAGCAGCTTGCAAGAAGCTTGTGGCCCGCAGCACACTTTCATTCATCGGAATCTCTGAGGACAGACACAAGCATGAAGAACATGGAAAGAACAAGCAATGAATGATGCCGCGTGGAAATTAATGGGTGCCGATCGTCGGCCATGGACGACCACGCGATGAATACGCACGCTAGATTTTCTCCACCGTCCATCCACGCCGAGGGAACTTATAAATGGAAGGGATGGAGTAGTGGACATAGACAACATATGAATAAGCTCAACATACCGTCAGAACTAGGTAGGTGTGCTGCTAACAGAAGCAAACCAATCGATTCAGATATTTTCACCCGGTGTCAATTAACTGCAAGAAATACAAGCATAGATATATGGGACTGTGATTGCAGTTGACGGGTATAAATGGATGCTTTGCATTGCCTGCCCAGGCTGCAGTTAATTTACATGATCTGTACTACGACTTCCAAACCCAGCAGCAAAAGGTTGACTTAACTGACAACTTGAGCCTCAACCGCCCAGGTTCCCATTCTAGTTAAAAAGGGGCAGCCCCAGTGCATGTAGCTCCCGCTTGCGCAGGGTCTGGGGAAGGGTCCGACCACTTTGGGTCTATTGTACGCAGCCTTTCCCTACATTTCTGCAAGAGGCTGTTTCCAGGACTTGAACCCGTGACCTCATGGTCACAAGGCAGCAGCTTTACCACTGCGCCAAGGCTCCCCTTCGTTCCCATTCTAGTTAGGAAAAAAAAAAGCTACATTCCCTGGAACAATAAGTTCCTACCATAGATCATAACAAGAACACATTGCCGCACAAACAAATCACAGAAAAACTACCGGACGAGGCCGACCACCAGATCAAACTACATGGGAATCCACAATAACCACAAGAGAGTATCAAAAGGACACTCTGCCTACCAAGAGTGATTACTGGAACGCGACCATACCTGCAGATCAGCAGAGACATACGAAGTGGACACCGACAGGTGCCTCTCAAGAATGCCAGCGCCATGATCCTGAAATGGGGAACATACCGGCCGCGACCCTTGGCTGTATTTCCGTGTGCTCGAGAACACGGGCATTCTGCATGGTACAGTACGCCAGCTTGACCTGATCATTGTAGCACCGGAACCCAGCCACTCATGTAGACTGTCCTGAGATGACCATGGTGACTCATATGGGAGCCTTCCGCCTCCACCACCTCATTGCTCCCACCGTCGTCAAGGTTCAGATATACCATCTGCATTTCAAAAGTTTGCAATCAGTCGGCCAAAGCAGTCCAAGTACAGGTCTTTCTTGAAGAATGATGCAATCAGGCAGTAGCAGTATACTTGAGGTCCATGTATTTGTTTATATAAACTGATTAAATGCTGCATCTCCAGTCGGGGCGCAATATCCAAACAGCGGGTAAGTTGAAAGAACTCCGTTATCGGCATTTGGCTGCCTCAAATGCATAAACATGCCATGTGGTCTTGTTGTCAACTACTGCAACTGAAACATAACAAGGACAAACAACATGACATTAAAA